TAGGACGGGGAGCAGAAACAGAGCAACTCGAGCAAATCAGTTTTAAAACACAAGGCCAAGGCCATCCCCATGCTGGCAGCACCTGGGTGGGCACAGGCACTGGGGACAAAAGGCTTTTTATAAACTCTTGTGCTTAGCCCCCCCAGCCGAAAGACCAGGTGGGTGCATTGGGGGGGTGGGTGTCATGCACTGGTACAGCTCATGCACACCCCTGCCCCATGCCACGTCCCTCCCGCAGGGTGACACATTTGCAAAAACACTTCGGTGCAACGCAAACCTGCTCCAGGCAGGGTCTATGCCCACCCCTTGCTCCCCTCTCCGCAGGTTTGTAAAGTGGATCGAGGACGGCACTTCAGAAGACCCCTTCTTGAACCCGGAGCTGATGAAAAACAACCCCTGGGTGGAAAAAGGCAAATGCACCATCCTCTGAGGGGCCGGCCCCCCAGCTGCAGCGCCTCCCGTCGCCCCTTGCTCCCCCACGCTGAATGTACACTTTTTTATTAGCTAGCTTCCTAATATGACTACCTGAACAAAAACCCTACCCTCATCTTGTCTTATTATTTTTAGGAGTAGAAGTGTTGCTTTTTTATACAGAGGGGACAGGGAAAACAAGGGGCGGGCGGGGGGGGGGGCACGTGAGCAGCAAAAGGGGCTGCTGGATTAGGCTACAGTTCCCCGTCACACACCTCCACTCACCTCTCCCACCCTTGCCATCAAAGTGGCAGATATTTGAGCTTGTAAAGGAGAAAAATAACTTTTATAAAACATTTTCAGCAATTTAAAAGATTCTTTTGTATTTTGTAGGATATACTTTTGCAGCAAAAAAGGCAAACTATGACAACTAAGGGTTTATAAATGAAATAAACAGAACAATACTTTATGATTATTTTTTTACATATATTTTATTTTTAAGAAAACAAGTGGGTACTAAAAAAAACCAGGATCGTACACACACACCCCATGGAAAGTCAAGTCAGCTTATCCCTTCAGTTCCATCTCCCAGGCTTCATCTCTGCCCTGCTAGAGCAGGTCCTTGATGTAGATATTCCTCCTGACAGCATTGGAAAAGCCTTCGTTAAACCGGAACCAGACGTCGCTCTTCCCCACGGCCTTTCCCATCTGGCTCTCTATTAACTCTTCCTTGGAGGCCTGAGGGGCTGCCAGGGGCAGGGGAGGGGGGGAAATCGGTGTCAAAAACTTGCAGAAACTCTTAAAGTTACAACCTGTGCCCAGGCTGCACAGGGGTTTGCAAGGGGAGAGCTGATGCTCCCATCTCCCGGATCCTGCAAACACTTACAGCACCCACAACCGTGCCCCCCAGCTCAGTGCATTTGCTGGCCCTTTGGATGCGGCCAGAGTCCACCAGCCAGCCTGCAGGCTCCCCCCTGCCTGCTGCATCGGGGTCACTTCACTCCTCACCCTGCTGATGTCCCCTGGGGCACAGTGCCTAGGGACAGAGCCCCTCTTTGGGCACCTCTGTGGGGTCTCAGCCCTATGAATGCAAGGGACCCCCCTGGCAGCACCCACAGCCACCCTGTCCCTCTGCCACCCACCAGGGGCTGGGGCCACCCCATTCCTTTGCCACCTACCTGGGGCTGCGGCCGCCTGCTGCCGCCGAAGCGGCCGCCCAAAGAAGTCTCTCTCAGGCTGTGGAAAGCAAAAAAGCAGAAGGTGAGGGGGGCTCTGTCAGCACTGGCGTTTACAGCTCCTGTTTGGAGGCAGCCAAAAGCAAAGCCAGTTTCTCCCTGGCAGCTGGGTGCAAGGCTACACCCCAGTGCACCACTCAGCTCTGCCCAATTTTAAGCTAAGTCAGCCCTAGACAGGGTCTAAGGCAGGGTCTTCGAGCGCTTGTGCAAGGCATCACCCCAGCCGCCTGCCCCCTTCGAGCATCTGGCACAGGAGGGAGCGGCCGAGCAGGAGCTGGATGCAAATCCCACAGAAAGGGCCAGCGGCCTCGGTAAAATGCAAACTGCATTCAAAATCGGGTGGGAAAGACAAACTTTAAGGTTCGTCATGCTAAAGCGGGGCGTTATGGACAGCCAAGGTCTTGAAGCTGAGCCTGTGGAGAGGGGGTGGGTGGCAGGGGACCACCTCCTGCTCTGCTTGGCTGCTATTGGGATGGGATGCCCAGGGTTGGACCAGCCTGGCTCACCTCCTGACGACCCCCCAGCCTCCCAGCTGTTCGTGTCCCTCCCGGCCCTCGAGCAGCTCTCCTCCCAACCCCGAAGCTTCCACTGAGCCAAAATTCAGCTATTTTAACCCATTCACGTCTCTTTCCTTCCCCATCCCTGAAAGCTTCACAGAACACAGCCGTAACTCTCACCCAGATCCAATTCATCCCCACGCTGCAAACCCAGCGATGCAATTAGGGGACACGCAGTGCCAAACTATTCTATTAAAAGAAACTGTACTAAAAATAAATAAATACCGATGGAGACAGCCAGTGCCTAGCAGCCAAGGTAGGTGCTAGTAGAAAATTAGGTAGAAACTGCAGCCCCCTCACCTTGTCCTCCACTGCTGCCCTCCGGACGATGTGCTCCAGGCGCTGCTGGTGGTTGGGGGGCATCGCTGGCCCTGTGTCCGCTCGCTCCCCTGCCTCGCCAAGGCCGTTCCCAGGCTCCTGCGGGGAGGAGAGCCCTGAGCAAGGGTCCCCTCAGTGCTGGCCCAGCTCAAGGTTTGGGCATCCCCCCACCCCGGCGATGCACAGCCTGAGGGCAGGACGGTGCCTCGTCACCTGGACGTCCTGCGCACCCCCTCAATTTGCTGCCGGATTTGATTACAATATCCAAATGACTTGGCAAGTATTTTTTTCATCATTTTCTGTCTCGCAGCAGCACGTGGGATTAGCCCTGGCAGCGCTTCAGGCACACGCGTGTTTGCAGTACCTCTCCCTGGGACTTCACGGTCAGCAACATGTAAACAAGGAGCTTTCAGAGATGTTTTTGCAGCCTCTCGTTGCCCCACATGTCCCCCGAGAAAGCCCTTCTGCTGCAAGGAGCTCTCAGGGATTAATTATGTCTGTGGTACCGGGGCGGGGCAGGCACCAGCTACACCCGAGCTGTTTCTCAGCCTCCACGTTTGCCTGTTTCCACCTTCTCCTGTCTCCTGCCCGCTGCTCCACCGAGGGTTTCAGCAGCGGGCAGAGTAACTCTGTTCCTCCCAGGGCCTTCGGGACCTTTGGGAGGATCGAAGTGAAGCAGCAAGGGAAGGTGCAGGCAGGAGAGAGCAGGTCAGCTCCCCACCCCGACATGTGCAAATCGCAGCTAGCGGACCTAAAATCCCCATCTCATTGCAACCCCTGTCGGAGAGTTGAAGGGTTAAAGGTTTAACCCACAGTGAGCCATTTCTTTCTGCAATTCCTGCAAAAAGGTGAGCACTTTGGGCACCTCACCCCAGCGGGTATGCGCTGCTCCAAAGGCAGATGTGCAGGCAGACGGCTGTGACTGGGGGGGGTTAATCCTGGATTTCCCTTTGCAGAGTGAAAGCCACCGGCTGCTTTGGAAAGACCACATCCCCACAGGACTTTATCCCTGTCGATGGGCCCACCGCCCCCCTGAAGCCACAGGAGACTGCGAGCCCTCCCTACCTCGCCCAGGTTTCGCGCCTGCAGCAAAGCCTCCGCCCTCCTCATCTTCTCCAGCTCGATCTCCCTGGCAATGAGCTGCTTGGCCTGGTAGGTCAGCTGCCTGCGAGCTGGCAGGTCCGGGAACCGGCAGACGTCCTCCACGTTCCTGCACCGCAGAGGAGGAGAAGCAGAGAAAATAAATCAATACGGAAAATAAAAAAGCATGACACAAACCACAGCCTGACACGGGCATGGAGAGACCCGCCACCTTCCCAGCCCCGCCCTCCCCAGCCTCTCTGTATGATCCTGGCCACGCTGCCTCAGTTTCCCCATCGCTGCCCTCCCCAAGCCTGCATCTGCGACGGCACGCTGGAAGATGCCCAGCAAGCAGCGCCAGCCGTGCGGATCCAGGCTGCTGCCGGGGATCTCAGCTGAACAGGAACGCAGGAGGGATTACGTGCTTTTTAATCTTGCTTTTAATGCAAGAAGAGGGAATTGCAGGCGGCTCTGTGCCGAACAGATTGCCCTGAAAAAGCCAGAGTCACATCACAGCTTGGGCACGAGCGGCACCACGACCCTGCGCATGAGCCCCGAGGTGCCTGCAGGGAGCTGTTTAATTGAGATACAGCCATGAACAGTAATTGTGGCTAATCAGAGCAGTTTTATTCTTAATGGGTTGGTGCACCCGATCTGGAGTTAGGGCCTGTTCCAGCACAGCCCAAGCCCCAGCGCAGCCCCAGCACTGGGGAGCCAAGCTGGTCCAGTTCCTCTGCCAGGTGTAAATATTTCATGCTTTATTCGCATTCAGTATTATCCCCATTAAAATAAAGGGAACGAAGTCATCGGTCACATGGTTTTGCCATCATTTAGAAATTAGCTGTCAAATCTACAGCCTAAAAAGTTTTAAAGAGAAAACACAGGTTTCGTTGTCGACAACAGCTCTGTATGCTAGAGAGATGCTGGGACGTGCCTCGCCAGTGCCACCAGGACGTGATGCCCTCGCCGTCCCCATCATCGCTCTGCACAGCCTGGAAACCGGCTCAGACTTCACAAAAAAGGCAAAGTGAAGCGAAGCGACACACCTGCTGGTGCCATGTGGCTCCCAATGTCCCACAGCTTCCCCATGGCCATATGCCCAGGTGGCACAGCTTGGCATGGGGAGGGCAAGAGAGGACAGCACGGCTCTGTGCGGCCCCTGCAGCTCCTCTAGGCCTTTCCATGGGGAAAAAAAGAAATGAAGCTCTTCACTGTAATTAGATATAGCGGCTTGATTTAACAGAGGCTAATTTTTGTAATTAACTTTGCACCAGGAAGACATTAGTGTTGCTCCCAGCTGTGGCCAGGTCTGTATTACGCCACCGAAGCCTCAGGAGCATGTACGGCTCTGTATATACTTAAAGCACAAGGAGATGCAAGTCTAGCGATGGCTGGCTGTTCATATATGAATTAACCGCAGCTACGGTGACCTCCTGGGTGCAAGGTGCCCAGGCGGACCAGCTCTCCCTGGCTGCCACGAGCCCCTGGAAACTTCAGTCCCTCCTCCACCAGCTCCGGTGGGAGCCAAAGGCAGCTGCCTCCTCGCCTTTAATCCCATTAAGGCAGAACCGGCCCCACTTTGCCCCCAGCATGAGGGGATGATGGAGGCAGACGGACCACTGGAGCAAAGCCAGTGGCAGCGCCGAGCACCCGCAAGACTCTGGGGCTCCTCCTTTAAATAAAACAAGGCAAAAAAGCAGATAATCCCCGCAGAGCTGCCGTCGGAGAAAGTCGGGTCCCTGCAGCCGTCCCAGCACCGGGCAGCTCGTGCCATCGCCAGAGAAAACTCTGAGCTCTGGCTGCAAAAAACCAACTTGATGCCACGATACCTTCAGACCCAAACTCTTTCCTGAACTCCCTGCTGCTGTTTTCGACCCCTACGCCTTCTCCCCACCCTCAGGACTTACGGGTCGAGCTTGTAGACGTACTGGCCCTCGGGCAGGCGCTCCTGGTGGTAGGTGAGGTTGTAGGCCAGCATGGTGCTGATGAGGTCTGCCAGCTGCTGCTTCTCCTTCAGGCTGTAGAGCTGGGTGTTCACCTGCGGAGGAGCGCGGAGCCCAGCAAGGGGAGAGCATCACTATCCCGTAACAACTTCCAAACATAAAAACAACCTGAAGCACAGGGTTTGTCTCTATATGAGCAAGGATAGTTTGCACGTGCAAGGCCCAGACCAAGCTTAGTTTCCCATTAGGGAAACACATACTTCACAAAGCAGGGACAGTCCCCTCCGACGGCCTGAAGGGTAAATGCACCCAACGCAACCCCACATGCAGGTGAACCAGCTGCTGGAAGGAGACTGCAATGGGCCCCCAAATCCCTGCTCAGACCAAGCCCACCCCGGGTGCAGGGGTCTGGGAGATGCAGGAGACCACCCCTCCGCACCCAACAGTTGGGTGGCTCAGTGCCACATCCCCAGCTTCCCTACAGCCTCTGCATCAGCTGCAATGACAAACTGATCCCAAATTTAGGACAGAGGTACAGAATAGCTCAGCCTGGGCAGTGCAGCACAGGGGACGTGTCCCGGCACTCATGGAGGGGACATGTCAGCTGGGCAGGACCCCTGCCACTGCAGAGAGAGGGGGCTGGTGGGCACTCACTGGTCGGAGCTTCGGGGCAATGATGTCCAGCAGCAGACAGAGCACCTCCAAGATGAAAGACTGTTGCCCCGTGCGGCTGCGGGCGCTGGGCGTTATCCCCGACACCATGGACATGACAAGGTTCTGCATGTGGTTCAGCTTGGCCAGGGCCTGGGTGGAGAGGGGCAGGGATGGCTCAACCATGGCCGCAACCGCAGATGTCCTCATGGGTGACAGAGCTGGAGCCACGCTGCCACCGGGCCCTCCCTGGTACTTGCCTCATGCTGGCTGCTGGGATAAGCGAGACGGGGGATGCTGGTGGCCGCGAAGAGCAGGTGGAAAGCCACGGGCAGGAAGGGCAGGTATCGCATCAGCTGGAAGCTCTGCCTATGCAGGACAGCGCAGCTCAGCAGGTCGGAGAAGCCCAGCCACTCCAGGGCCAAGCACACAGAGCTGAAAGCGGAGTCCCGCAGCTTCATGTTCAGGAAATTGTCGTACAGACCCTGGAAGCGGACACAGGACTAGAGATGGCTCAAGGCCGGGCAGATGGCCCTGTCAGAGGATGCCACTGGGGTTCTGAGCATCCCACTGAGCCCAGCTCCAACACAACACCCCAACACTCCATCCAAAATTAGCACAATCCTACTGCAGGGAAGGATTTCCCAAGGCACCCCCCAGCCAGGACCCCCCGGATCAGGAGCCACCCTTGCTCTGGCCGGCAGGGCAGAGGGAGGGGCCCAGCTCTTCTACCCCGAGCTGCTCTACCTGGGCAAGCTTCTCCTGCTCCCCCGAGGAGATGGCGAGGTGCAGGATGTGGTGGAAGCGGTGGGAGGATGCGTTGAAGCCAGCTGTCCCCCCGAGGTGCGACAGGTCCTCATCTCCCACCAGAAGCTGGGCTGGCAATGTGGGGTCCATTCCTATCTTGTGCCTGGGGGGAGTCCAAAGGGAAGAGTTCAGGGTGCCCCGGCACTGAACAGACCAGCAAGGAGTATTTGGACCCTTGCAAACTGTACTAAAGGCAATACCGATGCCAAATTATCGGGCAGTAAGAGAGCACCCAAAGAGCATCTGGACAGACAAATCTGCTGCAAGGAAGCAAGGTCCACCCCAGGGCAAACCAGCTCTCCAGGACCTTTCAGGTTTCTCCACCACAGTCCTTGCAAGCAGATCAGGGGAAACCACAAAGCAACGTGCCCCAAGCAGACAGCAGACCTAATAAATCCCCAGCTTTTACCTTTGAACCTTTGGGAGCTGGAAGATCTCTTGCCAGATGGAGAAGAGACCCTTGTTTTGGTCCTTCAAGCCAATCTTCATCATCTGCACCATCTGCACACTCAGCTCCTTCTGGCCTCGGCCATGCAAGAACTGCAACAGAAGCAAGGGGGCGGGGGGGACGGGCACCATGGTGAAGGAGGGGACACCCACGCGGTGGGCTGCTGCTGGGGAAAGCCAGAGACAGAGGCCCCTCACTCCTTGCTTTGCAGGGGAATCAACGTTAAGAATAACACAGGGGACAGGGCGGACGTTTTAGGGATCTGCCTGGGACAGTTTTTCCCCCCCCTCCATCCCCATCTGAGGCCAGATCAAGTCAAGAACCACAGCAAATCCCCCAGAGACCCCCGGTGACACCAGTACCTGCAGGGTGTTTATGCAGGAGCGGATGTCGTTCTCCGTCTTCTCGCACAGTGC